ATCTTCGAACCTCAAACCGCATTCCACATTAGTCTTGATTGTTTCTGTTTCATTTTTCATATGTCTCATTGACACCAATTTTCCTAAAAAATTAAAAGTAAATGTCATTTTATTTCTCTTTTAGGATTTTCTCTCTCTCTCTCTCTCTCTCTCTCTCTCTCTCTCTCTCTCTCATTCAAGCATTATTTTTACCGGTAAAAAGAACTTCCTGTTCACGCATCAATCGATACATTGCATTTTTTTTGAGATTGCCTTTGGTACATCGACAACCCGCAACCTTTACTTTCTTTTTCTTATCTGTGATTTCGAACTCTTGCAATACATTTGCTTCACCTATAAGGAAATCAATAGTCAAGATAAATATACGATTACTACTATGACTCATGCTCTCTCATACCTATCATTTCTTCGGTATCAACCGGTGGAAGTTTCGAATTTATCTCGTTCTTAACATCGTCAATGAGCTTATATATCACATTGTATGGACGGATCGATATCTTTTTTTCATTAACTTCCTGTTGCAAGTTTTTCATTACACCAACATTAAAAGGATATATGATGGCTATAAATATTTCATAATGATTTATAGAGGATAATACTAATCAATATCATGTATAATTAAAAGGATATATGATGGCTATAAATATTTCATGATATTGAGATTTATAGAGGATAATACTAATCGATATCATGTATGTCTTACCATTAAACATGTCTGCCATTTGTAAATCTGTTTCTGTAACAGGTCCAACGCCATAATGGATGACATTTAATTCACATTTGTCGTCACTCCCGTAGGTATTAAAAACATCTAATATAGCTTCTACAGAGCCAGCGACATCACCTTTTATGACAATGTTAAGTTTAGGTTTCTCATCATCAGGCCTTTCATTTTTAACAGGTGTTAATAACTTTGCATATCTGCCGCGCGCTCTTCTCTTTGCCAGATGTTCCTTATATTCCTATAATTATCGAATAATAAAGTGAGATAGGATAAACACATGGAAATAAACAAGGTCACATAATAGTGTCTCTTTACTATATTTTATATTATATTATAAAAAAAACTTACTTTCAGATATTCTTCGTGCTTTTTGTCCGCTGCAATTTTATGTTCCTGCGCCAGTTGTGCACCTTTCTCCGCTTCTCTGTATCGCATTACTGTGCGTGCTTTCTTCTCATTCTCAACTTCTAATATTTCATCTCCGGCAGTAGGTAAATCCTTCCATCCGATAATCTGCACCGCATCGGATAATTTGGCTTCCGTAACTGGATTTCCGGAATGATCGAACATAGCTCTTACTTTAGCCCACGTTAACCCGCTCACTATCATCAAACGAAAACATTAGATTAACATTCAAAACATCAAAATTACTAAACTGTCTTAAAGTATATTAGAGAAAAAAACAGATTTATGCAAAACTTTTCAAAGACATGTTTTGTGGAACTAAATTATAATTTTTTAAAGAAATCGCTTATATCTCTTTCTTTATCTTTCATATTTGAGGCAAAATATTTTGCTCTTACCAAGGTATGCACCCTTTCTCAGAGTACCACGTTGAATCAAAGCTGTCGCTAATTTGCCACGATGACGATCGGTAAAACATTCAATTACGACAGCTTCAACTAATCCCGTTGGATCACCCTTTAATCCCACGAGTTCGGCTTGTAATGCTATAGCCTCTATCAAAGTATCTAAATTGGTTCCATGTAAAGCTGATATATTAACGCTCTGAATGTCCCCGCCCATTGCCTCCACTTGAATTCCTTGTTGTGCAAGCATCTTTTGCGTTCTTATCTAAAATACATATATTATAAACTATGTTGCTCTATTATTAATGATTCTATTGATCATTAAAATGAATGTTAAAATCGCATACAATATCGGCTTCTGGTTTATCGATTTTGTTGATAGCCACGATAATCGGAACATTCACTGCATTTGCCATATTTATACTTTCTATGGTTTGTTCCATCACGCCATCATCTGCTGCAACCACTATTACTATAATATCAGTTACTTGTGCGCCTCTCATTCGCATAATATTAAAAGCGGCGTGCCCAGGAGTATCCAAAAATGTAATCGTTTCACCCGTTTTCAACGTTACTATCAATTGGGATATTAGAGAAAACTTGTTAACATAATGTATTATATATGATGATAAATACAATAAGATCTTATTATTTACCATTGAAAGCTCCAATATGTTGAGTGATACCACCAAATTCCATTTTTACAACTGATGTATTACGTAATGTATCTAGCAATGTAGTTTTGCCATGATCAACATGGCCCATAATTGTTACTACTGGACGACGTTTTATTAGTACAGATTCATCCGGTGGAGGTCTGATAAATAAAATATAAATGAAATATAAAACAATACAAATTCTATCGATCTTATCTTATATTTGATTAAGGCTTGTTTCCATCAATGTAAATTAACTTTAATTTAATCGCGGTTCAACTTTTTATCCTTTTCTAATTTTTAGAACTAGAAATTAAAATGTAAGTTAAACTGAGATTAAAGTTAATCTGCATTAAAATAGAAATGGATATAATATAGTTAATTATTAATACCTTTTAACAACATTACAATTCTGTGTATTCTTTTCTATTTTATCTGATCTAGATATCACTTTAAACTTTGCCCCAAGTTTCCGCACAGCATTGTACAATATATTTGGATCCTCTACAATAGTATTTCTATTGTAACGTCTAGATGAATCAGAGAAAGAAATTGCATCCATGACATCATTTATATCCCTTCCTGCAGATGCTGCCAGTTCTGATACAGTCATTTGGTTCCATACATCCACGACTGGCAAACGTTTTTTCGGTTTGATTTGAGGGAAAACATTCGGCTGTTATAAATAATTTTAAATTTCGATATCATACTATCTAAAAATTAAATGCTTACATATAAAGTATTCAGTGATTTTATAACTTTAGAAATGTACCTTTTTTGATGTGCTCTTGAAATATTGTAGTGTTGTATGATAATGCCGGCATTGCGTACATGTGAGAAACAAACTATGAAAGTTGTACTTCCTTACATTATTGCTTTTGATAATATCACAGAGTGGCCTCAGTAAACTGCAAATTGTAATATAAAATTATTACAGAAAATATACTCTCCATTAAACCATAACATATATTTATGCAAGTTATTACATAATGGTTTTACATTTTTAAAGGATAAAGAAAATTGATAACACTATGTAATATAGAAGGTTATGTTTCTCTTTTGTAAGAATATTTTAATTTCTCACAATGCTCTTATAATGAAATACACACACTGTGCAGCAACTTGAAGATGCAACTTTGATCATTGTGATAATATTTTCAAGAAAAAAAATAATCACCTAAATTTTGTACACATTCTGAACAAGGAAGTAGTCATGTTTACATCAGCTGTTGATTACACAATCAGATTAGCCAACTTTGAAAAATTGAAGGATTTGTAATTCTTTGTCTCAGCAGAGACTAGACAAATTTGAGAGTGGCCATTTCGGCCTTCTTCGTGTGATGCTTGAAACTTCTGTATACTAGCGCTACAACATCATTTTTATGAAAACTGCGTGATACATTAGAGATTTGTTTTCTGTTCCTGCACGAGGATTGCACTAGAACTGAACTGAATTGAACTAGTGCAATCCAAAACTGACGAGTGTAAAGCCTGTGCCTTTTGTTTCTTGAATCTTGTTTTTTGTTATTTTTTACATCTTGGCTTTTTGCTTCTTATCCGGTTTTTTGTTTTATATCGTCTGAAATAAAAGTTAACAAATTTTGAAAGAAACAAGAAATACATAGTAAAAAATACAATTGTTGATAAAACGATTGCAAAGGAGAAAAAAACAAAAGGTAAAAAACAAGAAACAGGAAACAAAGAGCACATTGTAGAATAGGCTTAAGCGTGCAGGCAAGGAATAAAAAACGTTTTAGTGCAAGATAAAAATGGCGTCTCATATTGTTTATATGAAAGTATTAGATTTGTGTGATGAAAATGAATGCAATTCCATTAAAAAAAATTCTTAATTAAAGATAGTGATGACACAAAATGTTTGTATATGTAGGCTTGCTATTATTTATATATATTTATCATTTTATCACTCATAAATTCTCAGATAATTATTTAGAAAATGTCCCTTACCTTCAATTTTAATAAAATTATCTCAATTTTAATAAAATTAGCTCATTTGTCACATTTATGCATGAAACGAAAGAATCTGGCAGTAAAATGTCATGCTTAGGCTCGCAAACTGAGATATTAAACGTTAAAGTTGACGATATTGTGTTTAGGAAATCTATCACACCGACTTAATGCAGCGCTATGTACACGTACTTTAGTCTATATTTATTTAGAATAATTTTTCGTTCATCTCGATTTTAATGAAATTAGGCTCATTCAATGCATTTTATTCAAAACGAAAGCCTGCTCTGTTCTTGCTGTGTGCGAAAAGTTGTAAAATTAAACAATGAAAAGAAGACGATTTGAATACTAATAAACGTTAATATATCGCTGTAGAAGTAAGTTAGTAAAAAATCTATGCACAGGTAGCCATAAAGTATAAGAATGTGATTGCAGCATATGCTTTCATCACGATATTTCACAGCTGACAGATTTCTTAACGTCAATAATTATCAACTTCAATGCTTAATATCTCGGTTCGCGGAACTAGAAATCTGATTTTGACTACACTTTTCAAAGTCTAGTTCAGTCTCCTTATACTCGTATTCATAGTCAGACCTTATATTTAAGGTTTCCTTAAATTTATCTTTAGATACTCTACGAATTATTTCATTGGCTGCTGAGCATCTAAAGATATAATAAATTTAAGGAAGCCTTAAGTACAAGGTCTGACTATGAATACGGGCATAAAGCTGGAAACACAATGAAAAGCACAGGCAATAGGAATAGGGAATAAAAGATTTCAACCTATCAGAAAGCGTCCATTCTATTATTCATGGTTTCTAAGTTGAAATCTCTTATTCCCTGTTTCCTATTGTTCATATTCCTGTGCTTTTTATTGTATTATGTTTCCAGCTTTAGTCTCTATCCTCCATTCCAAATATTGTACATAACGTGAATTTGCTCCTCATCATCGATAGATGTCGTGCGCAGTCCTCGGCGGTCGGAATTAGATCGTGAGCGTCATTCGTGATATGCGATAAATACATAAATTATATCGTTGATAACTTTCTCATCGCCAACGTCACATGATCTCCAGTGCGAGTTCGTTGTTTCCCTTGAATGGTGATATATTTCAGCTTGTTTGACTTTACATCATTTGCATCCATTTCACGTCGCCGCGGCCAGTTGCGGCAACATTCACACTTATATCACTGTCATCGCTGTGCGACACTGTGCGACCAGTGTGATTGGTCGCCTGTGTGTGTGTATGTGTGTGTATGTGGTGTGTGAGCGACCGAATCTCGTATTCTAGTTGAAAGAGAAGTGAGTATATACAACCAATGTGTATGTGTGTGTATATATATATACATTAAAGAAAGAGAAAGAGAGAGTGAGAATGTGAACTATAAGAAGGAGGGAGAAGTTGCCCGATCTTGCACTCGCACAGTCGCGAATCCAATCTCGTTTCGACTTCTTTGGGGGGAACCACGTGGTCCATCCGGACTACCCGAAGTGACAGTGGGTATTCGACCGTGCGCGAAAGTTGACGTGTGTCGAGGTGTTTTCTCCATAGATTTGTTGATTTATTCCTCATGAAAACAGATCGTGACTCGCAACTGTGCGCCTCTGGAACAGCTTTGGGAAATAAACGAACAAGCGAATGATCGAACGTGTCTCTCCTGCGATACCGGTGCGCTTTTCACTGAGGTGAGTGTCCGCGTGAGCTTTGCGAATTAACGATTCCTCTTTCAATCATTTCAGTCAGTTCAGTTGCTGGATCGGATGCATAGTATGTTACGCAGTGTCTTTTCGAAGTGGTCAAAAAGAAGGGGAAGAGAAGATAAATGAGAGAGTGTCGAGTGTTTTTAAAATATTACGCGAAGAAAAAAAGCGCTGACGATCGACATTCGCGATAAATTGATAAGTTTTTTCAGCTTTTTTTTTGCATACCGCAGTCTTTCGTATATCCTTCCAATTTCATCTCTGTTATTTTTTTCTCTTCCAATATACTTGATTTCTCTCGAGTGCAGGAAAAACATGTGATGTTAAAAAAAAAAAACGTAGTCCGTGGCGTCTTATCGAGAGATATCACGGACCAACAACAAAAATAGTGATTGAAAAACATCGTCACTAACGGTATTGATATTTTTTTTCGGAAGAGAAAATATCCTCAACATTCTTGAGATACGTTAAATTATATTCTCGTGCGTGTAAATGTAAATGCTGACTGGTGCTGACTCTTCATATCGCTCGATGTTAATTTATACTAACGTTCGTTTCCTGGTTCATTAACGCGCTAGTTTACGTATAATTATTTTACTTATATAACGTGTGTGACGTTTATATTTTGCGTCGATCGATCGACCGCTCGAATGTGTTGTGTATACGGAAAAATTATATCGACCTGTTTTGAAGGATTTATCATTTTATCGATCTATCGATATATCGTTTGTGTAAAAAATCTGCGTGCTTGATACTTCATAATATGAATGAAACGTACAAATTGTAGTATATACATGGAAATATCAAATATATAGAATTATTTGCGTAGAAAAATCGAGTTTTACATAAAAATATTATTAACTATTATTCTTTTTCAGCTTTCGTTATTTTATCCTGTCTGCCGTTAAAGTATGTAAAAGATTTCATATCAGTCTTATACAGAAATATAATTAACCAATTATCTTATTTTATTAAGTTTAGAATTAATTAACTGTATTGTAGAATAGCTAAGTCAATATTTTCTTCCATAACAAAGTTTCGTTACAGGCGCATTAATTCTGTATATTGATTCCGATGAAACGCGAATAAAAAGTAACAGATCGTGGAAATGGATAAACTGTGTAATTAGTAATTATCTAACTTTAGCTAATACAAAATTAATTAATTGCATTATTGAATGAACAAATCAATATGTTTCCAATCAAGCATGAACTGTTTCTGCAAGTGCATTAATTCTATACATCGATTTCTGTGAAAAAGCGAGGAGGAATCGTTCGCGGAAAAAAGTGATTTGATAATAAATTTATAACATTTATTCATTATAAATTCACGTTGCATGTACTTGTAACAAATAAAGTTTTTACGATCACCGTGTAGTATTGCGGCCTTCTATTAACGTAAAATTGTAGCCTTGTCAGCCGAAGTAAACGCTGCATAATGCCGCAGAAATATTCTTGAAATAGAACGTGGCCCAATCGATTATTTCATTTCGATAAAGGTCGCGGTTTTCCTTCGCGCCTTTCACTTCATTTCGACTGTCCTTTTGATTATGTTACGACTACTCGAAGTAGAATTATTTCTACTCAGCGTTCTCGGCTTTCATAAGCTCGGTGATGTTGAAACTGTTGAGTTACGATCGATTTACGTAATGAGGTTCCTAAACTGAAATATTCCGTATTTTTAGACTCGAAAAATTCGGAGAAGAAGATTGTGAGTCGGAATTTTTCTCTTTTCTTTGTGAGTCGTAAAAAGAAAATCTAGAATCATGAATAGAGACTTGCAGAATAAAATAAGAAACTTCCAGAATAAGTCAAAGTTCGAGGTTTTCAAAATAAATCAAATAAATGCAAATGAATTGCTGAATCGGAGTAAAATCATTTAACTTTCAATAACGAATCCAAAAAATAGTTTAGCTGACAATATGATATTTATTGTTAATTAAAATTTTTTATCGATAATTATATGGAAAAATTATTTTTATCTTTTATCACTATACATTCATATACATTTTGTGGATATATTTTTTTAACTTTTTTTATATATTGACAGAGCAAAGTTGAAATGCGTTCGGGACACATACAATTCTCTTTGAAATCTGTTTACGTAATTTTGCTAATTCATTCCCAAGGCGCGCCGCGAAATTATGGTTCCGTATCCGGCTTCTGTGGCAAGGACGAAGTGCAGGCGAAATTAACGACACGCTTAATACACTCAATAATTGTGCGAATAACTTCGAGCTCTTGCTATTGCGGCATTTCAGCTGTCCGCAAAAACTGAGCCTCGAATTATATTGCAATTTTTATTGCATTATAAATTTATTATTTACAATATACATTATTTATTATATATATGATTTATTAAAATTTATCTTGCTTAATTGTTATGGGTAGAAAAATTTAATTGACGTTATGAATTTAATATTTAACACAAAAGAAGAAAAAATTTAAATAATTTCTTTATATCCAATTAAGAATTTTTCTAAAGATTTTAATTTTTAAAAGTTTATTTAGGTAAATTTAAATAAAGTAAAATTTCATGAAAAAGAATAAATTTGAGAATTGATTCGAAATTCGCAGGCAATATCGTGCTGAAAGTCAGGAAGAAAAGTTTCGACATAGACAACTGACCTAGGTTCAGCGTACGGTAGCGCCTCGTCTAATCGATACGTCCTCGACCTTACTTAATATTGCCTTTTTCTGTTTACCGAAGGATCATTTACATTACGACAACGAGAAGAATTTATTTGTTAAGATAAACACAGTGATGTATGTATTATTAATATTTTCTTACGAATTATATAGGTATGAGTAGGATTAGGCAAAATTTTGAGAAACATCACGATTGCATATAAATAAATATTTTCATTTTTATTGATATTAAAAGTTTTGTATAAAATTGTATAAAAAGGATACTAATAGTATTGTACAATACTAATAATACTTAATCATGCAACATAAGAGTGTCTACTTAGAGACTCTAGTTACCACTGTTTTATTTCTTTTATTATGTTCCTCTTTGTTAATTCAAATATTATGAAAATCTATTTTTAGATTCTACCTACTTATAATCAGAAGTACCTATTTTATTCATTATTTAATTTTTATTAGATTTCTGTCTATCATCGAGATTATTTCAATCTTAATATATACATATATGTACACGAATTTACAAGCATTTCTGATTGAATATGATATGAACATTAATATTTTACTTCATTATTTAAAAAATTATAAAGTAAAATATTAATTATATGAATGTAACTAATACCTTACTTTATTATTTCGAAAATAAAGTAAGATTTCGTATCAATTCCAGATGAATCAATTTATGCGTTATATTTTATTTTATTATAGCAATTTTTCGTTGCAAGATTTCAAAATTTCGAATTCTTGATACTTTGGATAATAAACAAGTGCATTTCTCTTCTCGCATCAGGTGATAATTGTTGCGACGTCAAGATGAACGGCATGGATAGAATGGCTCGTTGCAACGAAGAATTTTTCCTGCAGCCGCTGCAACCAGTGCACACGGGTCAATCAACTCACTCTACCACCGTTATTTCGACGTCTCCCGTGACGCCGACGGCAACGTGTGTTATCACCGCGGCCGACAAGGTCACTGCCATTAATACCAGTTCTATTCACGTGCCAGGTGTCGAATCAGCTGGTAGCCCTAGTAAGTAGGCTGGAAATCCTCCGCAAAGATCACATCTGCATTAATTAACGATCAGCGTTATTATTAGACTATATTTTTCCAAATAACCGAGGATTATTTTTTTATACAGCTATATTGTTTGAGAGAAAGAGGGGGGGGGGAGAGAGAGAGAGACTGATAGAAATCTGAATACTTTTTTCCTTTTATATTCAATTTATATTCAATTTATAGAATAGTCAGAAGAAGTAATATTATTTCGAGTATCACTCTCTATTGCCAATGTCACTTTTAACGGATTTTATTTTTATTTTATACATATCATTTTCATAAACCAATTTCATTATTGTTTTATCTCTTTTATTATATTGTCCTCTTTGTTTGTTGACTGTTGTAACTCATACATTATGAAAATGTAATTTTAGATTCTATCTATTCATAATCATTATTTATTTTCTACTAGATTTTTTTATATCATTTCTTAAAATTCCAACGCCAAATTTAGACTCATACTTTTCGAAAAAATTTATATTTCTGTATGTCTAAACTATGATTACGTGTAAAAATTTATGCATTGATAAATTGAATACATAATTAAGACATAAGAACGAATAAAAATCTTTTCTAGAATTTAAGAACTTTAGAGTTTATATTTCTACGCGTTTTTAAACTGTAATTGCGTTTAAGAATTTACAATTAATGAAATGAAATATACTCAAGACATAGTAACGAATAAAATCTTTTTCTAGAAATTAAAATTTATAAGATTTAAAATTTCACTAGTTAAAATGGGCAATAAAAAATATTAAAATTGCTATACTTTAATCATACATATCGTAAAAAATATAGAGAACAAACAAAAATTTCGAAAACAGTTTATACTAGGGATGCACTTTTTCGGATATACGAAAAGTATCTGATATCCGGTATTATCCAGCACTTTTTTACTATCCCGACAATCAAATATCATTAATATCCGAGATTTTATATCATTAAATTATTGATTTTTTATTATATAAATGTTCTATAATATATTTTTATATAATGCTGCAAAATTATAATGTTTTTCTCTACAATTATCATCTCTATTGATAATCAAACTCAGATAACATTAAAATTTTATTATTTCACTATTTTTTCCTTATAGTCTCTTTTCCTTTTTACTCTTTTTTTCTTTTTTCACTCAATTTTTTTTGTTTAGATATTATCCCGGAATCCGGTCGAATAGCTGGAAAATATCGGATATCCGATTTGAAAAATTGTCTTCTCGGATATCCGAATGGATATCGGATATCCGATGATACATTCTTTTCAGATATCCGATATTCGATAATTTTACGATATTCGGGTATCCTTAGTTTATACATATATAGGTATAATTTCAGTTTCATCATCGGAAATGATCTCATGATTTTATCACATTTGTTGAAAGACGATTCATTTCATAATGACAAAAAAAAGATTAACTTTAAAAAATTAAATTGATTTTTCTGAACTTTTAAGGAATATGAGATTACTCCGGAATTCTCTGAGCTTTAAAAGTGTACGCGATGCACAGATCCTCTATAGTCGCTCTCAATCACGATCCCATCTCCCGCTACTCAATTATTAACCGGAATATACCATGAGCAGCTACCACCTCGCCGCCGTCTCCGCTGGACTCCCGTATACCGAGGCCATCGCCGTCGGCTCTGCGTCGTGCCGCGAGCTTGCGCTTGCGCGGCGAACGTCTACCACCACATCATCCACGATCCACCACTGCCGCTGCAGCCAGCACGGCCCTGCTCGGCCACCAACATCATCCCCGTCGTCACAACCACCTCCTGCAATCGTCGCAGCAGCATCAACATCCGGATTATTGTATTTTCCCGGTCATCACGGAGAATGGAACTGACTCGCCGCGACAACGATCCTTCGTGAGTAAAGACACTGACACGCGTCTCCTCCTTGAGAAATTGTTCTTCCAAGTCCGGAGGAAATTGTCGACTACGCACGTCGCTACGCACTATGTAGAGATCCCTGTTCCGCGTTAAGTTCAAAGTATCGACTGCCGTACGACTGCTTGAACAAGGAACCTTGGATATAATTTCTGACGTTGAATATAATTTCTTTTGTCACACTACATAAAGAAACAAAAATTAAAGAGGTACTCAAACAGTAATAATCCCGGGATTGTATTGTATTAAGGAGTGAACGATTTAAAACTGGTAGCACATTTGCGTTTTGCTCATGTACTTATGCTTGTTTCCATAAAAAAAAAAATAGACTCAATTTTTATCTCGATTTTCTAAGAACTAAGAGAAGATAAGTAAGTTGTGCCGAGATTAAAGTTAATCTATTATTGGTAGACTAGTATAACATAGAATATTGTGCATGAATGAACTCGATATTCATTTCCTTATATTACTTTGTATTTTTTTACACAACAAGAAGCGTATTGAGAGTACCGAAGCGTAGTCTACCATCGCCCGCGTAAGATTCGTTAAGGTTCCCGACAAGAACTATAGAAGAAATTGATCTCTGGCTTTTACGTTAGAATTTTGGTATGAAGACCTTTGTCTTTAGTCACTACTAGCTGTGGGAACTTTGGGACAGCGTTCAAAGTTCCGTTGATTAACGGGTGATTCGCACGTTAAGCCGTAGTAGTTGACCTGTGCTCGCCTTTGCGTGACCGTATACTCCGGATGATATCATTATTCCAAATGCGGTAATATAAGAAATCCAACAGGTAGGTAACTTGTTATAAATCCATCCATGTATCGATTTCGACGAGCTATCGTACATAAGCCGTGTCTTACATTTTTTTTCTAATTCTTTTAAATACTTGAAAATTTTAAAGATAATTGAGAATCATTAACGAAATAATTGGCTACACTTTTTCTTAACTCGCTTAAGAAATTTTGGGGATAATCAAGTCTACTTCTTATTGAAATAATTTTTTATCCAGTTCTAAATCACTGCCAAACTTTTTGTATTACTTTCAAATGCAATATAGAAATTTATAATTTTTTAATCATTTTTAATAATTTTTTTATTTGAGTAATTATTGAAGTAGGTTTCTAATCCTTTTAACGACTCAACAATTTTGAAAATACTCAAGGAACAATAACAAAATAATTACTATTTTTTAAAATTTATTTAAGATTTTAGAAATTTTGGATAATCGAAAAACGTTAACAAAATAGTTAGATGTACTTTTTTGATCCATTTAATCTAAAAATTTTAAAGATAATTGAGAAATGTTAATGAAATGGTTGATTATAACAAATTAAATTGAGATGAACATAAAGCAATAAACAGAAATAAAATTCGTATAATATGTAATTCTATTTTTTATATTTCTAATACATATATACATTATATTTCAATAGCATATATGGCATTTATTTTAATTTGCTCTCTGAAATCGGCATCAACATTTCAAGAGACTTTAAAGATAATCTCTTGTTTGATAGATTTACTTTAACTCTTTAAAAATACTACTTTTCAATGCTCCTTCCTTACTTCAAATAATTAATGATTCAACTGCGCGATTGTATTTATCAACGCGATATCTTTTGAAAGATTTGAAGCTATTCCCATACTTCAAACAACCACTAATTCAGTCATGTGCGATTGTATCTTTCAAATTAATACCATCATATATTGTAAGCGGCATTGTACATTGTCTATTCCATTCATATCTGTTTTAATGAATCGAGCTAACGGATGTTGTTAATAAAAAATGATTTACCGTTCACAGAGTCTCTCACTGACACCGGTGAGGCCGCGGCCAGGTCACGCGGCCTCTGGAGGAACAACAGCAGCGGGAATCAACGATGACAGTGATGCCGAGAGCGTGAAGAGTTATAGCAGTGCTTGCAGCACAGCGAGCGCCTGCGAGCATGCCTCCTTTGCATTGAATGGCACCACCTGGTCTGGTCGATCGCGAAAATATGTCGTGCATTGCTCGAATTATGTCGGCGATAACGAACAGTACCTCACGCCTACCCAGAGAGCGGCTAAACAAGTCCGAAAGTTTCAGGTAACGTCTTCAAAATGAAAATAACTGCATATCTTGTCATTCATTCTGCTCTTAAATTTCTTTGTATTAGCGCATTAACAATATAGTTGAATGCAGTATACATAATATGCTCTATTTCTGGAATTGAAAATATTATTTATGATTCTATGTCTTGAAATACATCATTTTTATAGATTAATAGTCATTTAATCATAAATAATATTTTCAATTCCAGAATTGATGAATATGTATATATTTAATATATTAGAATATTCGCACATGGTCAATCTCTTAATTTTTATTCCAAATAACAAAATTTAAAAAATTTCGACATAATTATATATTAAGAAAGATGATTTAAATCGAGATTTTTTTTAAATTTTGTACCATATGTGCAGATTGTGTTCTAAAATATATCCGTTTTCAATCAGGAAAAGTGAATTTAAATTTTTTCTAAAGAAAATTGACACAAAATATAAGGCCAATTTTTAGTATATAACATCATAACAAAATTAATATCATTACTTACATATCTGAAGAATTTGAAATTTGTATAATATCGTAATAAATAATTAATTTTCTTTTCTCTTTTAAATAATTTTATATTTTTTACTTGTGTCTTTACTTTTCTTGTTGGAGTACGCTATATGTAAGTGTATATTTAATTATATAATAATTTTACTTTTTTTCTTGATAAAATTATTATTGATATCGCGGTTATTGATATCTCTATCTTTATGTTTAGGCTCTGTTGAAGGAAGCGCGCAAGGAAATCGATGAGAAGGATCGAGAAATCTTGCGTTTGACGAAGGAGGTCGTAGAGTTGAGGTTGTACAAGGCCTCTCTGAACAGTCCAGCTTACCGTGCGTGAGAACAATCCCTTCTCACCGGAGTCGCCGAGCAAGGATCTTCCCGATGAAGGTACCGCGGAGAAATCTATCGCTAGTCCGGAAACTCCGGAGAAGCGTGTGCACACAGATCTCCCTTCGTCATTAGCTGACTCCGGACACTTCGAAGATGGTTCCGTCCATTCGAAAGACTCCATATGCCTGCCTGAGCCGCAGCCAGAGATTACTGTTAGCACGACGACGTGTGCTAATACGGTATCCAATGATATTGTTTCCGATGTCAGTCCTGTGACACCAACAAGTGGTGTAGAACGAGACGAAGAGAGGCGTCGATTAGTTAGTCATTACGAAAATAGAATCGAGGATATGCATAGGCGGCACGTTGACGAACTGCAAGAGCTCAAACAAAAACACAATGATAAGGTGGAGTTTTTCATTCAATTGGTTTTAATTTTTGCCCACTTTATTCTTCTTGATAATAAAAAGCTATGTTTCGTATTAGGTGGAAAGCTTATTGAATCAACTATCTGAGGTCAACACTCGGTACTGTGAGGTGCGGCCGGCTGTGGATATCGCCGAGACTCGTGCGCGTGAATTAGAAGTGGAATTAGAGGCTGTGAAAACTGAGCTTAATGAACAGAAAACGCTTTTGAATGAGCAAGAAGAGAGAAATAAACAAATGTACCTGAAAATGTATGCCAAAGGTCAAGAAGCCGCGCGCATTGAACAAGCCGATCAGGTGCGATCAATATATCGAAAATAAATGTAAGAATGAAAAATATAAGTAAGATCGGCACTGAATACTTTTCATAAAATTACAGATATTCGTGCAGGCACATCAATCACCGCCTAAAGTCACCGTTGCAGAATTACTTCAACAGCTAACTATCACACAAGCTGAGTTAGAGAATATTAAGGTGAGATGTGATTTATTTATAGTCCACAATTAAAGTTTTGCGTTGACAAATATAGCGATATATAGATTGATTGAAAATTTTACTTGTTTTGTACAAGATGAGGAATTTTCAATGATTACTAATATTTTTCAAATAGAATTGTTAGTATGATCTTTAAGCGTTTTAAACACCAGTTATTAATAACAGTCTTTTTCAGCGAATTTATCATTTTCGTTATCAACAAGCTTTCATATTATTAGTTTGCATTTTGTGATATTTGTACACAATAAATTTCCTATTAATTCGACATTGCATTCTTATTTTTTTTGCTTAATCATTAGAATGTCTTTTGTACTTTCTAGATGCGTTCTATCTAAAGTATATAACGAAATCGTATAATAACTGATTTTCTCACGATTGAGACAAAAAGCGAGATTTGCTAGTGATTAATTATGCTAACACAATAACACACCTAATAAGGTGAATCTCAACGCGTTTTTTTTACATAGTAAAAAATCAGCTTTTACATTTGTTTCGCAGGCATTGTTTATTCATTTCTCACATTTATCACATTTATTACACTTATTATGCGTGTACATCACATTTCGAGCATCCTTGTAGTTCACAATACTCTCGTACTAACGATGTGCCACTTTTTTTGGTCGCCGCTCACACTCCAGGACACAAGCTACTCGCCTGAACCTCACATTTCAGCCGAACGTAGCCAAAGTTTATTAAGCGCTCAGGAGGCTGTTTCTCTCTGGGTCCTTGGCACACGTAAGGTCTGTATCTTAACTCGGCTGCTACGTGACGCAACTCTCATCCACTTTTTATCGCCCATAAAGTAGCAGTTGTTCGCATATATGATGCACCGGTATTCTATCAATGTTTTATTGCATCAAGAGCTGATATTTCAACACACAAATGTAATATTTGTCATGGTTCCCTCTTATAAATTCAGAAATTAGATAAATAGATTGATATATATATATATATATGTGTGTGTGGACATATCTTTTATAACTTGTTTAAATAATTTATTATTTTGTAACTTCCCTGATAGTAAAGTGTCTCGACAGAGTTTGCTGACGTGTTATGCCAGTATATTGGTGGCAGAAATCTAACAGAATCAGTATATTTAAGCAATCTGATAGCAGACTGGTAGCAGAAGCTGCAACTTCTATTCAGTTTCTGTAGCCAATTTTTTGACATAGCATGTCAACAGACTTATCATATTTCTGATGGCAGTTTGCTATCAGATATCGTCAAATATTACAGACGAAATTTTTTCCCCTTTCTGCTATTAGAAATCGATAGTTTACTCGTTCTGCTGAAAATCTCCGCAGGCTTGATTATTTGGGTTATTGCACAAATGTTATGTCAGAGTAATAGTCACATATTCATAAATGAAAAGAGTAATGTTAACTCTTTGGGGACAAATCTTGTATATAAGTTTCATAGGACAATCAGTTCTTGAATAAATAAGGGCGTGTGGAAAAGAGCACGATTGCGTTCCTCTTTTTTTTTTCCTTTTCATTCGCGTTAGTGAATGCTTGCTGCAACAATTGCATGCGGTCTATGAAGCACAAACGTAGATGGTTTATACTTCTATACGTTGCTCTTAGATCGGGCGATGTTATCCAGTGCACTTGGAAGAAACAGCCTCTTATATCTTCGGGCAATGTAAGTTTTGCACGAGCTTACAGGCAATGCACGCTTTCACCATACTTTCACTATATTGCATAAAACTTGTATACTGTATATTTGAATGTAGACAGATCGATTGATTCCAAGTGATTGATTTTAGTATTAACTCATTAAAATGTAATATTGTATTGTTTTAATACAAAATTGATGTATACATA